AAGAAGATGTTTACTAGCTGTAAGCTACCCGAGCATGAGGGAGACTGGTTGGGCCAGAGCAGCCGGTTCCAGCCTGGACCCGGATGTGTCCGACTCCTTCGGAGTCAGAAGTGGGGGCTGTGCGGACTCACATCACTGTGCTGCCCTTGTTGTCTCCACGTCAGAGCTGGGCAGTCTTAGCAGGACTCTCCTTTTTAAACGTTTTATGGGGAAGAGGAGAGGGGCTCAATATTTCCCAAGACCAAAAAGATAGAATTTCTTTATTCATTCACACAACTAATGTGTCTTGGTAAAATAACCTGTGCCAGGGTCTTTGATCCAGAAGGAGTAAGACGCCATCCCTATGAGGGCTTAGTCTGAGGGACAGGGATGTAAACCACTCTTAGGATCAGCGCGGCACTGGAGGGACACACCAAGTGGTGACCGTGGGAAGCACATGTCCTTGGCCCTGTAGTTGGGACCCACCTCCATGTGGTCTCCTCCCCACCTCTCCCGTTCCACAGGACACAGAGTGTGCAGGGGTGAGCGTGCAAGCAGACACTTCTGAGAGGAGGAGAAAGTAGCACGGGAGAAGGAGAGTGAAAACTTGGTAATACGTAACTCCTTCACTTCCAAAGACTCCCTAGACTCTCACAGAGCACAACTCCAAGAGAGTGCGAAGGCAATAATCGCCAGACGTGCGATGGTAGGAGAGAACACAGGGGTTCCAGGCCCAGTTTACCCATTTTCACCCTTCCCTACTTCATTCCCACCTCTAAGACAGTGTTCAAGTGCAACTCTCACTTAGCGGTCACTCCTACAGAAGGGGCAGTTCCCACACCAGCTTCCATAGAAGACAAGCATCTTCAACACGGTAACAATCTGCTCCTAGCCAGGGCAGGCGCTCCAGCTCCTGGTCTGCTCTGCCCTCCGTGCGTTCACACTGCCCACCGGCCCTGAGGATGGGTGTCCAATGCTTGGGCGGATGCTTTTGAAGTTCCTTCCAGAACACACTAGAAGGTCTGCATTACCTCATGCACTTACCTGCCCCGACCACTCCCACCCCCTCAAGACACACTTCCTGGAAAACATCTTTGCAATGAAATTCCTCAAATCAAGATAATAAATGGGGGAAATTACCAGTTTATCGCGATCTTCTATGGACTGCAGATACTGCTGTTTGCCTTGCTGGGATTCATCCTTCTTCTTCAAATAAGGCTCAATGGATTTGTACTGAGCGTAGAAGTTGCTCAAATCCTGAGGGGAAGAGGGGAAGAGGGAAGAGGGGAAGAGGGAGAAGGGTCAGGTTCTACATCCCCTAGCTTGCTCTTCACCTATTTCTCGGCCTTCTTTCCTGCCCTCTGACAGACTGAAGGCAGACTTTCCTGAGGCAGGATCCGAGCAGAGATGCAGAGGGAGAAATGGTCACAATGCTGAGAGTTGTCAGCAAGTCTCCTCTTCACCCTGGAACCTCATCCTCCCCGCCCTTGAAAATGCCCTCAGCGAAGATGGTCAAGTACAGGGCGGTAGAAACGAAAGTAAAATGGGTATCAACTGTTGCTGAATTCTTTGTAGTTATGGCCAAATTCTTCGTTTCTGGGACTGTTGCAATTTTGTGCCCTGTTATTACCAAAAAATCTTCACCAAATGAGCTGCTGGAAGATCTGTTTATGGTCCAACAGTCAAATTGCTGAGTTAAACTCAGACAGGAAAAAACTGCCCGAAAGAACTAATAGCATAACCTGAACATCCCTCTCCCGGCACCCTTGCAAAAAACATGGGATGGGATGCAGAGACTCACAGGAACCAGGTCCTTTATCACATACATATGTGGAAGAGGGTAGATTTTTGAGACTTTGTTGAGGTTGGTGTCAATCCTCCGGGTGCAAGCTAGAGTGTTGCCTCCGTTGATGTTCATTGCACAGGAGCCACAGATACCTGAGAGACAAAATACAGCTGACACGTCCTCACCCAGCTTCCGGTTCAGTCACCCAGCTTCTTTCCTCTGGACTGCCGCCAGCTACTACCACGGGGAGCAGCTGGCGGAGGTGCCACGGCCTTTTCCTCTCCTCCTTATCGAGAACGCAGATCTATGGGCTGCAGTTCCAATTCCGGAAACATTCTGCGACCATGAGGCAAGCTCGAGGGTGGATGGCGCTAGGGCAGAAGGAGCTGGGATCCAGCTGGCACCACGGAGTTCCCCGCGCCAGTCCTAGCTGCATGCTTCATGTGTTTTGAGAGAAAACCAGCCAGTATTTTTAAAAGCCACCATCTCTGGCCATATGCCCCATCTCTGGTCTCGGAAGCCAGTGTTATTTGAGCAGGAACTCTAACAGCTTACAATGTCCCCAAACAAATTGACATTGTCTTGGTCACATAAGGCCGAGGCCTGGCTACAGATTACCCAGAGGCAGCTCTCACTCTATTGTCTCCACAAGACAGCAGCCGGAGGATGTGAAACCCACAAAAGCTGCCCGAGCACTAACTTCCCAAGGAGAAGAATAAACTAATGTCAAAGCAAAGCAAAGCAAGCAGAACCGAGGTGCTGACCAAGGGACCCTGCAATGAGGATTTTCTTAGTCTGAACTCACTTCCTGTGCAGGGAAATTTCCGAGGTATATCAGAGTTTAAAATTGGCTATAAAGTTAAACCCCTGGAACTGCTTCTCTGGAGCTGTATTTTGGTCATCAGGCCAGAGAAATGGGATTACTCATGGAACTTGCACTGGGTTACCACTTTTTTATTTTAATTTCTTTATTGATTATTAGTTATTACATAAATGTCCTTATCCCCCCATTACCTCTCTATCCCCTCCACTCATGCCCTCACCCCCCTGTTGTCTGTGTCCGATGGTTAGGCTTATATGCATGCACACAAGTCCTCTGGTTGATCTCTTCACCTACCCCACTCTCCCCTACCTTCCCTCTGAGGTTTGACTGTCTGATCGATGCTTCTCTGTCTCTGGATCTGTTTTTGTTCTTCAGTTTATGTTGTTCATTATATTCCATAAATGAGTGAGATCATGTGATATTTATCTTTCACTGACTGGCTTATTTCATTTAGCATAATGCTCTCCAGTTCCATCCATGCTGTTGTAAATGGTAAGAACTCCTTTTTTACGCAGCGTGGTATTCCATTGTGTAGATGTATCACAGTTTTTTAATCCACTCATCTACAGATGGACACTTAGGCTGTTTCCAAATCTTAGCTAAGGTGAATTGTGCTGCTATGAGGGTTACCACTTTTATAAGACTCTCCCCTCTCTTCCTCTCAAGCTTAGTAAGAACGTAAGAGAACATACAGATCTATTTCTAAAGTTTTAGGCAAATACTCCTCAAGAGATTGAATAGTATCGATATATTGGTGTACACCTGGCATTCAACTGTTTCTATTTAAACACATAGCATTGTGTTTTAAAAGAAATGGTACATAATTTAAAAAATAAATCCAATGAATCTGCTCTTAAAAAGGTTCCCCTGGAAATTCTCTTAACAAGTAATAAGGGAGCAGCAATGAATTTCATCTGCCTGGGGTACTTTAGTCCAGATGGCCACACCCGATGTTCTTGGCTCTGCGTCTGGGGGAAGCGGGGAGAGAAGGTTACTGAAAAGCATCTCCATTTCCTGAGCTGCCAGGATTTATGTGGAGAAAGTTGGTGTTTAATTACAGCAGAATGTTCCCTGGACAGCAGGACCCAGCCCAACTATCAAAATATCTGTCAGCGTTTGCTACAATAAACCCAATCCTGTAAGATTGGAAAAATCAAAACAGATGTCTTAGAAATAGATCTTGAAATGCACAGCAGGACAAACATAAAAAGCGATGGGCCAATGTTTACAGTGACTTTTCCTTTCTGGAAGGTTATTTTAGGAAGAGAGTTCAATCCCAGCCCTCGGTCTTGGCCCAAGCTACGCTTTTTGGCTTTTTCCTGGGTTTTCCAAGCCCGGCCAGACTGTACTGCCTGAAATGCAGTTCTGGAATTGGACAACTCAGACCGACTCCTGGCTTCCCAGCTCACCAGCTGTGTGTCCTATCAGAAGTCCCTACCCTCGCTGGGCTCAGTTTCTTCATCTGCACTGCGAGTGTAAATATAACAGCACTCTCTCTCTCTCTCTCACAGAACGGAGCCTGGCACACACATGGAGCTGTGCTCCACGACCATCAGGCCAGCCGGGCTTCATGACCCCCCTGTGTGATTTTTCCACATCCGAGTACCACCTGAACAATTATTTAGGGGTTTTCTTTAAATCAAATCATTTTTACTTAAATTTGTATTAAAAACAATTCCTGTATCACTGCTACACTGTCAGCAGTAATTGTGTTTTTCTAATATGTAGATAAATGCATAACTATTAAGGTAAAAAAGGCTAGCCTGCACACTGCCGGAAATCAGCTCAGGTGGCACCAGCAGCACACTATGGGACACGCTGTTCCCATCCAGAACATTCTTACTGAGCACCTGCTCTGTGCACATGTGATGCTGGGAGCTGCAGGGACGCACACGCCCCCTGATGGACAAATGTTACGTGTACACAAGCACCAGTTACTCTCTCTACTGCCCCAGTACATGAGCCCCGCAGAGCAGAGGCAGGCGGCTAGCGCACTGAGCTAGTCCTGGAAGGCAGCAGCGGCTCTCAGCACCGCCAGATGCAGTGTCCACGCGACAGAAAGCTCTCAAAGGGAAGCAAACTCAGAAACCAGAACTTGTACCAGCCAAAATTTTCCACCCCTTTACCCAAGAAGAGGAAGTGCAATGCACAGCCAGGTCAGCTGGCAGAGCCCTGCGGCTGTTCTCTAGGTATTTCTGTCAGCTCTGGCCAGCCCTTTGGGGAGCAAGGACGTAAGTCCGCGGGGCCTCACCGGGAAGGAGGTGCTTACCTTCTCTGCAAGATCTTCGGAAGGTCAAGGTAGAATCCATTTCATTCTTAATCTTGATTAGAGCATCCAACACCATAGGACCGCATCTGACCAAAACCAAAACAAGAATGAAAGAACCCAGTTATACTTACACTTTTATCATAATAAGATGAGACATCTGTCTGAACCAGCTGCTTTTATTACCCGCTTGGCCTTCGCAGGGCACTTACAGAATTTCCCCATTTAATTTTTGCACATTCTTACACATTTAGAGTACTGCAGAGTTCTATTTTGGTGATCACACTGAACGTACATTTCTAGGAAACAGAAAGCTAAAGTAGGAAAATATTTAGGTTAGAAAACAACTTCCATATACTGGCAGTTTTTCTTTTTTCTTCTAAAGTTCCCTGCAAAGCTTTCCCAAATAATTTATTTCAAATTTAAAAATTTCAGAATCCAAACAAGTAGCTTTAAATGGTTTGATAATAACAATAATGCACAACCGTAACAAAAACATGGTAGAGAATAAAAGATCCATCGCCCACAGTCCCCTCATCTCAAGCCCTGAGTGCTCCAGGCGCCTGGGTGCAGTGAAAGGCATAAGGGCTGGCGTGGCTCAGTGGTTGAGCATCGATCTCTGAACCAGGAGGTCACAGTTCAATTCGCAGTCAGGGAACATGCCCAGGTTGCGGGCTCCAGGAGGCAGCTAATCAATGATACCCTCTCATTGATGTTTCTATTTTTCTCTCCCTACTCTCTGAAATAAAAAGATTTTTTTAAAAAAAGGGCAGCAGCCCCCGCCTTGGGATCCAGAGTGCAGGCCTGGCATTTGAGATCCTGGCCTGAATCCTGCCTTGGACACTTACTAGGTTTGCAGGCAAATCAATTAGCTGCCTATCTGTCAAGCCCAGAGAGCAACACCTCCATCTCACAGGACTGCTGCTGTGAATGAATGAATACGAGGAAAGAAACAGAGAGAGCACTGCCTGCCACATACATTTAGTTTCACAATTATCCTTATGCAGAATCTGTGATTCTATGAAAATGGCTTCCTGTCTGAGCCGCATTTATCTGTAAAATGGAATCAATAGTGTATCACAAGACTGTAATGAAGATTAAATAAAAACTTGCAATTTTTATGTGGAGTACACACAAATGCTCAACAAATCTTATTTCCTGGTTGCCACCTGATTCCTTTCGGCATTTCCCTATGCATGGGATTTAAAAAAATATGCCCCCTCCTCAAATATCCTTTAGCATCACCTGTATTTCTTTTTCTCCAGTTTTATGGATATAAAATCAAACATAACACTGTGTAAATTCAGGGTGTATGACGTGACAATTTGACTTATGTATATATTGTGAAATGATTAGCACAATAAGGTTAGTTGACACATTTGCATTATCTGTATTTCTATCAGCAACTTGCAAACACCCTTTTTTTTGTGCCGGACTTTTGCCAACACTGGGAAATGTTACCTTTAAAAACCTCTGCTATTCTCAGTGTTTGAGCTCTTGGAATACTAACTACAATGGTTGAGTATTTGTCATAAATACATTAATTTTTCTTCACTCACCAATTACTCATTCCAAGTCTTCTGTGTGCCAGGTTCCGTTCTAGGTGCTGGAGATACACCAGAGAACAACACAGATGAAACTTCCTGCCAGGGAGCTTCCCTCTGCTGGGCTAATTCTAGCGACTCAGTCTGTGCATGGTCTTTGACTCTGTCTACTGAGGTCCTGGGAAATCGTTTTTGAAGATCTGAGCTTATCATCTTATAAAGGGAAAACTCTTCTTATATTTTTCTCTCCTATTACTCGCTTCCAATACCTCACTTCTCATCACCAAACATGTGGGTGTTTCTCCCATACTAAGCAATTCTGCAACATCAGTTGGGTGTCCCACAGTATAACTCAATCCCACCCTCCAGCCAGGTTTATGGTGTTTATCATCATCACTATATAACACAAAGGTCCAGATACATAAAATCAACACGAAAACATTCAGGATTCTAAGACTGATATTGTGTTAAATGGCTTAAAAAAAACACTATGCATAAAGCCAATTCTACCATGATTCCTATAAAGTGGTCATGCTTTGATTTGGGGGAAGAAGAATCTTACAAAGTTATTCAGGCCCCCACATAGTTCTCATATTTATTTTTTGTTCCTTTTCTTCTTCTCCTTTTTAAAAAGTTATTATTTATATTTCTTCTCATTCTCGTTTTAAGGAGAGGGTAACTTCCAGAGCCACTGGATGACCTTAGTTTTAAACCTTCCAAGGCGTGAAGAGCACGTCCGAGGCAGATGAAGAGCTCACTTCACTGATCAAACACCCAGCTTTCACCGAGATACTCACTTATTCAAATCAACTTCATAGGTTTGCATACGAGGTTTATCTCCAGTCTTGTCCGGATCCCATCGGTAGATGGCAAATTTCTTGATTCGGGGAGCGGTGGCAGCAGCTGTCTGGGCCCCTCGGCAGGCCTGAAATTTAAAAAGTTCACAAGAACAAAAAAAAAAAAAAAATTATTTAAAATGAAAGATAAATCCTTCCACTTAGCTGCACTATAAACTGCAATACTGAATACAAGCCTGCACGTTACTGACAGTCTTCTTGGGGAAGGCAGCCAGCCAGTATTCAACAAATACTAAGCACTTCTCATATGCCAGACATGCCAATTCATACTCGTTTTTACAGTCACTATTTATTATTGCTAGGTACTGTATTAAATGCTTTATATGAATGATTCCACTGAATCTGCATTTTATTTTAATTTTTTAAAATTATTTTTATTGATTGTAGAGAGGAAGGGAGGGATAGAGAGCTAGACACATCAATGATGAGAATTCACTCCCCACTGGGGATTGAGCCCGAAACGTAGGCATGAGCCCTTGGCATGAATTGAACCTGAGACCCTTCAGTCCACAGTCTGATGCTCTATCCACTGAGCCAAGCTGGCTAGGGCTGAATCTGCATTTTAAAGATCAGGAAAAAGAGACAGAGATCAAGTTATGGGCCCACATTTACAGAGCTGAGTGGGGCCAGAATTGGAATCCAGGTCTGTCTGACTCCACAACCCATGTTCCTAAAACACTGTACTATCCTATTTATTTGTGAATATCCCCTAGTCTTTTCTTGGTGCTGTTTTCTCTTATGTCCTGAACTCCTTGAGGGCATGTGTATGTGTTCTCCAGAGAAATAAAACCAGCAGTGTGTACATATGTGTGATACATATGCGCGAATATATGTGTGTGTGTGTGTGTGTGTGTGTGTATATATATATATATATATATATATATATATATATATATATATATATATGCATGCACTTATACAGATATAAAAATAGGTTTAGAATAAGGAATTGGTTCATGTAATTATGGAGGTGACAAGTTCCAAGATCTGGAGAGTGGATGACACAGCTCTAGTCCAAGGCTGGCAGGCTTAAGGTCCAGGAAGACTTGACGTTTCAGTCTGAGTCCAAAGACAGGAAAACCCTAATGCCAGTTTGACAGCAGCCAGGCAGGAGGAATTCCCTCTTATTTGAAGGAGTAAGAGGGAATTTGTTCTAATCAGCCTTTCAACTGATTGGATAAGGGTCACCCACATTAGAGCAGGCAATCTGCATCACTGTTTTTCGATGTAAATGTTAACCTCATCCCAAAACACCCTCACAGAAACACCAGGATAATTTTGACCAACTATTTGGGCACGAAGGGCCTAGTCAAGTTGACACATAAAATGAACCGTCACAGCATGGTATAGGCTGTTTTACTCCTCCCAGCATCCCTGGTCCAGGCCTTTACACATTGCAGCTCAACCCATGGTTAGGAAAGATTGAAGAAAAGAGCAAAAACTGAGTGTTATCCTAATGTAAAAATGTGTTTTGTTTTATTTTATTATTATTTTTTAAAATATATTTTATTGATTTTGTACAGAGAGGAAGGGAGAGAGAAAGTTAGAAACATCAATGAGAGAGAGTCATCGATCAGCTGCCTCTTGCACACCCCCTACTGGGGATGTGCCCGCAACCAAAGTACATGCCCTTGACCGGAATCGAACCCGGGACCTTTCAGTCCCCAAGCTGACGCTCTATCCATTGAGCCAAACTGGTTTTGGCAAAATGTGTTTTATTTTAAATGTACCTTAAAAGGCTGAGTAGTGCAACCTATATCAAGCCAGTAAAAATAAAAAAACACCCCTAAGTCAACAGCTAAGCCCTCCCCATCTCACAATCCTTGCAGCCCTTTTCCCTTTAAGCAGAGACCACCCGAAGTCCTCTAAGCTCCTACTATGGTGACGAGGAGGGGCATCCTGTCAGTCCGAGTAGCAATTACTAGTATAAGGTAAGCCCTCAATTTTTATATAGAAAATTCAGTCTATAACCTCAGCTAGCTAATTATCTTATAAATTGTTAAAGAAAGTAAACACTCTGAAGGTTAACTGAGTAATTACAAGAAAGTAATGCAAAAGTAAAGCAAGTATTACTTGCTGGCAAAAGTGCCCCAAATTAAGTGAAGCTGTAAAGAAAAATATCAGCTTTCAGTAGGAAAGAAAGTGTATGAAGAAAACGAAAGTGCAAGTGAAGATGAAAGCTTATTACCAACCTGGCTAGATCATTAATAAAAGGAAAGTAGTTCTTACAAATGAACATTTTCCATGAGGGCCTCCATTTTGTAAGTGGACAGGAACGTTTTGCTACTGCCACCTTGTGGCAGTGAAGAGGAAGTGAAAATAAAAGATTCCTGAAGATTGCTCCAGCAGCTTTTGCTGCTTAGTGCCCACCAGCATTTTTGTTTTGGTGAGATTGAAGGAGGTATAATTCATTACATACAGTCAGGCGCCACTTAATGATGGGGTATGTTCTGAGAAAGGCATTGTTAGGCAAAAATGCATCTCTGCGAACATCACAGAGGCACACACAAACCTGGGTGGTGCAGCCCACTCCACACCTCAGCGCTAAGGTGCAGCCTGCTGATCCTGGGCTGCAAGCCTGCACAGCAGGCTCCTGTACCGAATTCTGCAGGCCACGTAGCAATGGCATCTGTGTGTCTCAGTATAACTAAACACGAAAAGGTACAGTAAAATACAGTGTAAAAATTTTAAAGCCATAGCTGGTTTGGCTTAGTGGGTAGAGCGCTGGCCTGCGGACTGAAGGGTTCCAGGTTCAAGTCCAGCCAAGGGCACATGTCTGGGTTGCAGGCTCGATCCCCAGTACGGGATGTGCAGGAGGCAGCCAGTCAATGATTCTCATCATTGATGTTTCTATCTTTCCCTTCCTCTCTGAAATCAATAAAAAATATATTAAAATTTTTTAAAAAAACCCACATACACTTGTACAGGGCACTGACCATGACTGGAGCCTGCGGGAGTGGAAGATGCTCGGGGAGTCAGTGAGTGAGTGGGAAGGCCTAGGGCCTTACTGGACACGCTGCAGACTTTATCCCACTGTCCCCAAGTCCTCCCCGGCTTCCTTCCGACAGGGTCAGAGAGAGAACATGGAGCTGCCAGGAAATATGGAGGGGAAACTGGCTGGTGGGACGCCGAGCACCATAACAGTGACCGTCAGGAGGGCGTGAATGGCGGCCTGAGGGTCAGCAGGAATGAGAAGCCAGGACCGAAGGGGAAGGAACATAGCACTGCCAGGGCCACGTGGGTGGCTCCTGCCTGCTGGAGCAGTGGTCAGATCCAGGAACTTTGTGGTGGTTCAGGATAAAGAGGGTGTTAACACGGAGAGAGTGTGGGACCCAGAACTCACTGTTTTGACTTTGGAAATTTGTTTGGGTTCCACTGGCCCTATCTGGCATAAAAGGCTCTCTCTGGCATGGAGCTGGTAGAAGAAATAAAACGATCTGTGCTTTTCACCATCACAACCTGACAATGTTCCCAACGTCCAGGGACAGGCTGGCCCCTCAGGGGAAGGGAAAACCTTTACAGGAGCTGCAATGGCACTTCATAGGGGTTCAGGTGGCTCCTGTGGGCCTGCGTCCGTGGACAGGACCTCAGGTCCTCACCAGCGACCTACAGCCGGGTCCTCCGAAGCGCACCAGCCGGGCCTGGGGCTGCTGTGCCCTCTGACCATGCAGTGCTGGGGGGCGGGCTCCTCTGGGAGGAGACAGGCCAGGGGCTAAGGGACTGGGTGCAATCTGTGCGCTCAGAATGGAGGTGCTGTGAGCGAGAGGGAGTCTACTGCCAAGCTCCAGACGCTGCTCCAGTTAGATACCCCCCTTTCCCTGCCACCGAACACATAGCCTTCATTTCTTACCAGAAATTCAGTTCCATTATAATCCCATGGGACCACTGTTATGTGGGCACATGACTAATTTGGTGAGTTTTGGTAAAGTGGAGTAACCACTACCACAATTGTGATAGAACGTTTCCATCCAGAAAGTCTTTCAGGTTCTTTTACCATCAGTGTTTTTCCTTTCCCCTTGGCACTGGTCTGCTTTTTATCACTACAGATTTATGTAAAATTTATAGAATTTCATATAAATGCAATCAGAGAGTACATCTGTGTCTAGCTTCTTTCACTTAACATAATGTTTCTAATTCATGCATGTTGTTGGGTATATTCAGTCTGTTGCTTTTTCAAAAAGTTAATGCTTCTCATTTTGAAATAATTGTAGAATAGGAATTTATAAGAAATACTGAGATACCACATACCCTTTACTTAGTTTTCCCCAATAGTAACATTGTACATAACTACAGCACAATATCACAACTAGAATACTGACATCCACAGTCAAGACAGAACGTTTCTGTCACCACAAAGGTCCCCAGTGTTGCCTTTTACAGCCACACCCATGGCCCTCATGCCTCTCTCCCTTATTCCTTAACCCTAGCAATCGGAATCTGTTCCAATTTCTATAATTTGGTCATTTCAAGAATGTCACAGAAATGCAATCATCTAATATGCAACCTTTTGGGATTGGCTTTTCCCCCCATTTCATTCAGCATTAATCCTCTGGAGAGCCTAGCTGCATGTGCCTCGCCTCAATAGTTGTTTCATTTTATTACTGAGTATGGTCTCTGGCAGTGGTTCTCAACCTTCCTAATCCGCGACCCTTTAATACAGTTCCTCATGTTGTGGTGAACCCCAACCACAAAATTATTTTCGTTGCTACTTCATAGCTGTAATTTTGCTACTGTAAATGAATCAGAATGTAAATATGTGTTTTCTGATGGTCTTGGGCGACCCCTGGGAAATGGTCGTTCGACCCCCAAAGGGGTCTGAACCCACAGGTTGAGAACCGCAGGTCTATGGTTTGACAAACCACTGTTTGTTTAGCCATCCATCCACTGAAGGACATTTGTGAATAGGTTTCTGTGTGAGCATAAGTCTCAATTTC